GGCATCATTTAAACAGACATGATTGGCTTCTGGGCTTTTGTTCTGCCATTCCGCCGTGGGTCGAGTTGGGCAACAACCTGCGCGTCCCCATGCGTGTAGAAAAGCCATGACGGCTGAGCCGATGCATGTGGCTGTCACCCGTTCCGCGGTTGCATTGGCTGGGTACACCACGGTAATCACAGAACTTGAGACCTTCTATTCTAGATTGAGTCGATCGCGACAGCTACGCGTCGCTCACGCTATTGCCGAGATTTCGACATATCCGACAGTCTCGCTTCGGCAAAAAGGGTGTATGTGTCGACCAGGTGGGACCCCAGGACAATGTCGAATAAGGTAACTGCCACACTACTCGTCTGTGCAACGCACTTTCCACCTATGTCTAGACCCGTCTCAGGACGCGTGAGTGCAAACGGCGGTGGGCCTTGTCTCGGCGTCACTACTCCGATTGCCTAGAGCTGAAGGAATGAGTGCCATCCCCTCGGGATCGGCTGGTATGAGGCGTGAAGTGTGGGCTTAATTCGCTCACCATCATGATTGGACAAGAGCATGGATCATGGTATGCTGCTGAAGTACCTCGACTCCACCTTGGAAAGGCTGCGACACCGCGTGTAGCTCTTCTATCTCCAGTATTCCTGCCACTGTAGCTCTTGAGGAAATCCCGGAGCTGATCGTAGCGAGGCAGCCTCTCCAAACCAGCCAGCACAATGCACAGCTGAGGCCTCGAGCCCAGCTTAATGAATGAAGAGCTTTATGCATGTGCAAAGTACAAATAAAAGCGACTTGGCATTTTCTCATACGTATAATCACTCTCCCCTTCGTCTTCTTGCTCTTCGAGGTCTCAGCTTGCACCGTGACCACCATGGCTCAGATGAATGCAGGAGCTCAAGAGTTTAGTCTCGATTTCGGGCTGAACGAGGTAAGTCTCATGCCGAAGTATCACAACAACATGTTGCTTACCAACCAAGGCGGACATCCTCGACTATATCGGGGACTTTGAATCCAGTCAGTTTTTCCACGCGCCTGCGGCCCAACCAGAGCCGCATGATGATGCCTCTCATCTCCCCCCAGCGGATCTACCTAGACAGTTTACATCTCCGCCTGAGATGACTGGCGACGGTCTTTCAACTCTCGAGAACTCATTCTATTGGACTTCGGAGCCACACCAGCCTTGGAACTTTGCTTTTCCACCTTTCATGACCGATGGAAACCTAACAACTGGACAAGGCACTCGAGCAACTGGGCAACACCTTCAGACAACCAGACAACGCCTCCCAACGACTGAAAGACACCTTTCGACTGTCGAGCAACTATTCTGCTGGGACTCACTGCTTTGGGACTTCGCTACTCCACCCGAGGTAGCCAATGGAAGTGTGACAGCTCGCGAACAAGTTCCACGCCGCAAAATGGCCAAGCCAAGATAACACCGTCCAACAACTATACAACACCTTTCAGCAACTGGACAAGGCCCTTCGACTGTCGAAAGCCCACTCCATTGGGATCCGAGTTCAAAGCGACGACAGCTTTGGGGCTTCACGCATCAACCCGACCGAGGTTGACGCCAAGTCATTCTACCAGGGCGGTATCAAAGCCCAGAGGATTTTGCCAAAGAATAGAAGAAATAGTACGAGTCAGCGACGTTTCCATGTCCCTTTACAGACCTGAAAAGTAAGGGAAATTCGAATACTGGAGCTTCCCGGGCTGCCCTTCTTCAGCCCTGCGAGTCAACTTACTACAATTGCAGACTCACGGACTGCGAGCGACATGAGAGAGCTTTCCCCTCACCAGGGAAGGCTAGACGCCATGAAAAGAAGCATATTACCAAAAATCTCCGCGCCATTGTCTGTCTTATCCCCAAATGCACGACGGAATCACCATTTTACACACCTGACGGGTTTTCCCTCCATCTATCCCTTCACAAGTGGAAAGAAGGTAAATACTGCAAGGAAAGCGCCATCAGTGCTTAGAGTCTTGGATACAAAGTGGGAAAAAGCTCTTTCTTTCCTATCTACCTGCCAAAACGTCACGTTCGGAGAACTGGCTCTGGGCGCTCGAAGAGATCCTCTAGATCTTTCGGCAGGCCTCTCCACTTCCGCCCCATTCCTCCACCGTATGGAGATCTTGTACGCTCATGGATTGTTCCTCTGCTTCCAAATTAGTCTGCACATCGCAATCCAATTTATGTATTTCTCTATAGTTCTTTGTCAATGCTCTATTAAAATGTAGCATTTGCGACCATTTGGTTTATTACCCTTCTTTCCCGGAGGAGCAAAGGTGCCTATATATTGTTTCTTCGTCACTCGTGGGGTCCATTTCCAGCAGACGTGGTCATTGAGAGGGAAAGACAGCAGAACATATCCTTCCAGACCAAGCGTGCGCTTTACCAACAGCAGGGTCTATGCTAAATCAGTCTCGGGTGGTCTTTCCGTTACCTACCACATGCTACGGCATTAATTTATGTAGCGCATAACTTTAGTCACTCACGGTGAGCATCCAAGAACATAAACCGTGGTAATGCATAGACGCGGTGGACTATTTTTCGTACTACATTCACCCATGGCACTTGGCAGGCTAATTCAATGCGGTCCCCACTCCAAAGGTATGGAAGTGCCTAAGTCAGCAGTGATCCTCTGTCGATGGAAGTACCTACCGGCTGCACCTGGAATCCTTGAATTGTGGAGCGTGCTAAGATGTGATATCAAGGGTCGTGACACGAACGTGACAGCTCAGCGAGCTGCCCCATCTTTGGGAGAGTGCGTGTATCGCTTAGCAAAAGCCGGTCGCACATCCTGAATTGGGGAACTCATTGCTGGCCTAGCGTCAGAGTCGTAGATCAATGCGTGCTGCGTGACGCGGCGGTTAGCAGGCGGTGAGCTCGGTCCTGCGAAGAATGCGCAGCAACGGCTGAGCATATAAAGCTCGCTTCCTTTCCAGACAACTTACTCGCGAGACACGCCCAATCCCATATCACATTCTTTACCTCATCAATTGTCCGACAATGAAGTCTGCAACGACCTTGAATGAACCCCTGGGCACTAGCTTCATTGAAAAGGCCCCGACAGGAGCAGAACCCGATGGAAGCTTTCCCGAGACAGTAGACCTCACTGATGATCCAGGTCCTCCACATGATCAACCAAAAAAAAGCCCTAGTAAGTATCTACTGTTGAGCCACATGAATAATTGGAAGTTCCTGACTGGTTCTTTCAACAGTCCTAAAGAATATGATCTGGGTCAAGAAGAAACAGAGGTATCTGTCTCCGAAGCAGCTTCAAGCTATCTGGGACAAAAAAGATCTTCCTATCGAGGATATCTTTGTGAAGGAAAAGGATGGCTGGGAAAAGATCCCTAGGTCGTGTATGGGATTCATCGGAGATCGTGCCAAAGAGTTCCCCCCAAAAGTCAGGTTTGCTATTACTCGTAAAACGAATGAAGCACTAGGTAGTAAATCACTCTTTCAGCCCCTGGAAACCAAATGCTAATTACAGACCAGGTGCTCCAGAAGCTGATGGAACCACCACTGAGGCTGATGGCACTTCAGAAGCTGATGGCACTCCTACCGAGGCTGATGACGCTCTCAACGAAGTTTCTGGCACCCCGACCGAAGCTAATAGCCCTGGAGGTACGAGTGAACACCTTGTCGAACTCGAAGATGACTTTCCTGACTAATCTGTCACAAAAGGGCCTCCAGTAGGCAAGACGAGCAGGGAGACACCTTGTTCAGACAAAGTCGAAAAGCCAGTCAGGTGCGATGCCGACGAGACACCTCTTCCTGGAGACTCCTGTCGTTTTACACGGCATTTCAGTGCGACACCCGGGGAGGCCGGGTCCCCTTCAAAAACAGGGAAGAGGGCCCGTCAAGCATACCCCGATGAGGACACATATTTGCAAACGCCAAAGAGAAAGCATCACGTCTCGGCACCTGCGAGCGGCGCCCAGCCCTCCGAGCAGTAGCCATCACGTGGCACTCATACTAGATGGTTTACTCAACCGTACGACCTCTTGATGTTAAAGTTGATTCTTGCTTTTGAACCACTTCAACTGTTAGCCTGAACGTTGGGCTGTTTCTTCCTGATTGTCAGCCCATCCATTCCTTTCCTATATTAGTTGGTTTCAAGTTAGTAGTGGGCTTGCAGATAGGCTGAATTCGAGATTTCTATGGGCCTTCGGCCGGCCACTCCTTCTGCACCAGCTCCTTGCCATTCGTCTCGTGCAATATGGATATGGTGGGTGGCTGGACCCTTTGGCTTCGTTCTGCTCCTCGGTTGCACTCCTTCATTCCTTTCGCCTTTCCCGCACCTCAGAAGGTCTGACGCTCGCACATCGTCTCCGTCAAGATCTAACTGTGATAGTAGATTGATTAATTGATCTATTCTATCAAGCTGCAATACTATCCGAGCTGGTACATGAGCTGTCCATTTCTCTTACCCGCGCTGCTTTCTTCTCTAGCCTAATCTCACTTCTTCGTGAAATCTGGCATAAATACTCCCTCCGTTGCCCTTACACGTCCTGTGGATCGGATGTGCTTGCCTTCCCACGCTCACACCAAAATCTCCATTCTTTTGCAGAAGCAGGATGGTTACCTTAACTACTGCAAGTTCCGGCTCCACTTGTCCTTGGAGCCATCCACTAGTTTTCCAGTACACCGGCCTTCTCAGCTATTCGATTCACTTAACGAAAATGAAACGTCTCCCCACCCCTCACCAACTTCCGACACCGACTCCCGCCTGGGCCTTGCCATCTCGTACACGCTAATAGCACATGTCTAACTGTCTTCTGTCTTATACCGCACTCGCACTCGCCGGGTTCCTCACGCCTTGGCCTGTAGAAGTACGGCTTAAGCCGAGTGATTCGAGCGGCGTTGGATGAAGATTGCGGCCTACTCCCAATCCGTGCGATGCACAGGCTGATGGCGTGTCTGACCGGTGCTGCACCATCAGTTCCCCCGTTTACCTCTCATATCTCTTCCGACTCTCCATTTCACTCTTCTCCTCCCAGACTCTCGCTAGCAGAGTACAAGTTACCGTTTTAGCCAACCGTTGCCGTTCGCCTGGTTCTCTGCCTGGCCTCTGGCATAGCTAAACCGCCTTCTTTGCTATCTCGTCTGCTGCTTCGTCTCTCTTCAGCCCAGAATGGGCTGGCACCCAGACGAACCAGGGTAAGTCCTTGCGTGGCAGTCTCTTCCACTACCTTGTAGATCTCTCACACGATGTATTGCGCTTCTGCCCATCGCACCCGGTCCTGATTGCCTCTGGGTCCTTCTTGCTGTCCTGTTGCCTAGGCCGTGTGCGTGCGGCTGGAGAAACGTCGGATTCTGCCATCGAAAGAGCAGCTTTCAATTAACTTACATCGGCTTCGAGTCAGAGGTGTACATAGCCACCTTCTTTTGTTGCTCACGTGATGCATCCAGCTCCTGTACCACAGGAGCAGCGGTCAGTGAAAACCAACCAACCCCGACCCAGCGCCTCCTGAGGAACTACCCCGTCATAACCCGATCGGCCGCGCGGAATCACTGCCAACTAAATTTTTGAACACCCATCCGGTACTCCAAGACCTTGCAATGTCTATGAGCGAAGATGATAGAAGCGGACACGCGACCGTTAGCGCATCGCAGGGACGCCCCGCTTATCAGGCTTTCCACCACGGCAAGCCAACCACCATATATCCGTCTCGCGCGTCAATCAGAGCCCAGCTACTGGAGAAAGCAACTTGGAACAATGTCGTCGGCCTGCTGGGCGTTATCGCCAAGCCGGAAAGGTCCTCGCCGAATAGAATCAGAGCCTGGTGTAGAAAGGCCCCACGACTTAAGACAACATTGGACTGCTTTTGAACGCGCTGGATATGTCTGAAGAAACGCAGACGAAGATGAGAGAGCGTGTTGGAAAGACGAATAAGCAGGTAGCGGCTCTCCAGGCCGGCGCATAGAAAACCGAGCTTACAGCTATATACTAATGCTATATACATAAACGTGCTCTGAAGAGCTCCACCGGCACCTAGAAATACAAGTAGCCCGATAGGTGCAACAAAAGTGTGCCTTTCTTTTGAAGGGAAGAGGAGTGACAGCTCATCCAGTCAAACCTTCAACGGCTAGACGTAGCTTTACGGTGGCGAGGGCCTTGAATGGGAACATCTCAGCAAATCTCTCTCAATAAAAATAGTGAGGCAGTATAGTCAAGAGTTCGGGCCAAGGATGGCTTCGTGTTACTACTTTTAGGAATTTTTCTTTTTCTCTTGCATTTCCTCACCAGGTGATTAAATACCCACACTAATTGTCACTTCTCAATGATTGGGCTTTGAATGAATAGGGATATTCATGTAATATAAATACTTTTTGGCGCGCCTTTTCGCTATGGTTCATCAAGACCGGCGTGAAGAATGCATCATCATCACAATCATTCACCCAAGAACAAAACCTCGTTCATACGTGTTTACTTCCCGCAGATGCTCCAACTGCTACTGCTAAGTGAACCAGTAGTTTTCATGGCCGTCCCAGTGCTGTTTGTTGCAACAGTACTTACTAGAACGCAGCAGTTTCAAGTTACGATACAGCCTCGAAAGATGATGCGAGTATGACTGCAGACATTAATGTAGTATCAAGGATTGGGGATGAGAGCTGTGCGGTGGCCGCGGGCATCGCGAACCCCTGGGAAACCGCCAAGAGCGACTCAAATTTCTAACATAGCTCTCATTTTCTCGCCTAACGCCCAGACAGACGCAAGGGAGTCAGGCCATACCTTCTCCTAAGCCATGACTCGTCACCTTTCCCCGCTATTTTCTTTTTCGTTGAACAGTGCAAATGAGTTGAATTGAACATTGCTGGCTCTGACACTAATGCAAGGAAGCCAAGAGTATAAAAGGAGCTGAGTTTGTGTAATCTACTCTGCAAGGTCACCGTGGAATGTACTGTACAAAACAACGGTTCGGAATACTAAAATTAGGATTTACTCTTGAGAGCTTGGCCTTATTCCAGGATTTTAGTATCATGTAGCAAGGATTGCGCTATACCCGGACTTCGGCCTTCACTTGCGTTCCAAGCGCAGAAGCATAATGCCGTTGTGATTCGAAGCACGCCATGTGAAATTGACACATTCTTCCTGCGATCTTACTTTTGAAGCAGTGATACTTAAGAGACATCTTAGTTTGTAACCTCTATACTGCGGAGTTCCTCAAATCAACCCCACCTCGAAATCGGCATCACTGAACTTTTCCTAAAAGTAACCCTATTTACCCTCCCGAACGTATGTCTACTGCTTTATATAAGCGTATCTTAATCCACGCTGACCTTCGACATTGACAGAGAACAAGATGTCTATCGGTGAGAATGTCGCGAAATCCGGCACCACTGTGACAATTGGAGAGACTTCCTACTCGGTTGACCTCACAAAAGTTCCATACCTCGAATCGTACTTGAGATTCCAGAGCAACGCCGGCCAGAGCACGGTGCATTCGGACATCCCACTGTTCGCGGTTGCATACGATGGACTCGAAAATGGCTATCGTCAATATTTTCGCAAGCTTCCTGATCAGCTCGACCAATACCACACTCTTTGCGAGACTCTCGATATCCTTTGTGCCGACGTTCTACAGCAGCAAACGGTCAAGGGACTCTTTGAAGATCTTAGAGAAGGAAAAGGGAGCTACGAGTGTGAGTACAAGCGTTCGGTCTTTGTGAAGGGCGACAAGAAAAAGGCACGCGATGCAGCTTTCAAGCTTTTGTACTTGATTCTACGTGCAGACTTCGAATCAGACGTCAAAGATAGCCAGCTCGTCTACAATGCTGTTTTGTTTGTAGTTTCCCATCGTGGAATCTTCAAATACCGCATTCGGAAAATGGTCCGGGCAGCATATGAGGAGCGCTTCATTATCTCTACCAAACAAATGGCCAGCCTGAACCAATGGCCTATATGGGAACCAGGAAAGGGTGGGCAAGCATCAGAAGATGAGGCGACTACCGAGTCATCTTCCGAATTCGATGATTGGGACAGTGATTATTAAGCATCTTTTGCATGCCTTTTCATTCTATTCCTCTTTCGCTTCCAACTGTGTTGATCGATCGTTGCGCTGCGCATGACCTTATGATGATGTGGTGGTATAACGACTTGGCCCTCGCTCTGTACCGCCTTCGATTTGGACAGTATAGTACAGAAATTGCAACTAACAATTTACTGGAGCCTGAGGCAGTACCGCGGAAGGATTATGTACCTGCTAGCGCTGTAGACTATGACATCCAAGCAGCCATTGGCTCAGCACGGTAAAGGTATTATATCTATCAACGACGAGTTAGAGAGAGAGCGGAGCGAAGGCGTAAAATGCGTAAAGGAGTCATGGTGACGTTGAAATCAAGTACGACAGCATGGATTAACTTTAAAGCTTCAGAGCGATCTCAAAGACTTTTCGAAATCGGGTGATATAGAAGAAGAAACGCAAGTAGCATCTAGAGCGAATGCTGGCGTATCTTGTATCCGGTGTGCTCATTTCATTCTCTCCACCACGCTCACCACCAAGTCTCTGGCGAAAAGTCCCCCATCGGCAAGCAAGTCCCGAAAAGTCTCTGACATAACAAGAATGTCGATGTTATTCGCAGCGAAGCGCGTGATCACTCGGCGTAGTGATGGACAACTCTGTTGCGCTTCTCTTGGTTCTGGACTGACGTCATAGATGTGCTTTACTAGCTTTACTATGTCCGGCACTCGCTGCCAGTGCAGAGTAAAGCTATCAAGAGCGGTAGAGAGATCCTGAGTGGTGGCTTCCTTCAACTTCTCGACGAGATAGGTGTCGGCAAAGTCGAATAATTGAACATGAGACAGGAGCGTGCTAAAAAATCCTCGATAGGGATTCTCCATATTGTCGATCGCTGCGGTCATGGTCGGGAACGGATCGATTCTCGTTTCATCGAATACGATTTGTGGAAGCAATCTAGGGTAGCATGCTCGCGGAGGGGATGTATATGCTTTACGCCTCGGCTTCCGGCCAAAATGGGGTGAACTGCCATCTCGGCTACCAAGGTCTATTGGGATTTCGTCGCTGGGTTGATCGGAAGGGCCATCTTTGGTCAGCTCATGGCCTTCTTCTTCACACTCGGCTGCGTTGTAACTGCCCGAGTAGACGAACTCCAGGAATCGAGCAAAAGTGTTTTCGTCCACCTGATCGAGGCTAGCAGAGCCTTCGCGGCTTTCCTTGAGTCCATTTGTCATCATGGCCATTAGAGGCTCTGAGACTCTGGCGACCGCTTCTTGATGCACATAGAAGCGTTTTTTGTTGACGCCGATGTCGAATCGAAAGACGTTGGAGCAAAACACCCTAACTATAGTTAGTCATAAAGAGGATCATACATCGTGATTCAAGCGTACTCCTTGTTTACATCCGACATAGGTGCTTTGAGGTGCTGGAACTGCTTCAAATGGAAAGATGCTTCTTCTTTTTTCTTTGCAGGCAGTCGAGATATTTAAACGTAAAATGTAGCATCAAATATGCAGTGAAGAAACCGTAATAAATAAACAAAGCGGGTGACAACGTAATCTGAGACTTACTAAATCGAATGAAGTGTCGTAGTAGGCAAAGAAATGGCTTCGCGAAGTAAGGAGAGCGAGATCTTGTTTTCGATAGCATTCCTCGAGGAGTCATAGCCACAAGCTTCTGATTCACGAAATAGTCAGCGATATCCCTTTACTTGTTTGGAAACCCCTCCAATCCGCTCTCAGGCGGAATTTTTGTGTTGATATCACGACTTCTATTGGTATTTGGCCATCATTTTTCGACCCCACCCCCAATTCCTCGCTCTTTTCCAATAGACTGAACTTTACACAGCATTTACTCTAGTACAAAGTAAGCTATTGTAGATAATCTCGATGAGGAATTCATCTCTCAGTCGATGCTTAAGAACAATCGATTTATCGCTTTGCCCTTTGTCCCTCTAGAGATAAGATAAATCTGTTCACCAGAACATTAAAAAAAAAAACTATAGAGACCTGGCAAACTTACTGCAGACTACATGTAATTCAGCTCGAAATATTAGGCCTTTCCTGATTTCGGGTAATTTCCTCTGATGTGCTAAATAACCTGGTCCCGAAGGTCCCGCTTGGAAGGCGGAGTCAACGAGTACACGTCGTGAATCGAATCGAAAAATTCGACGAGACTGTTCGAGTCCATAAGTTCCCAGGAGTACTTTGAGCTTGCCAGGGTGCATAGTTCTCCAATGTCGTATTTGTCGGCAAGTGCAAACATTCTGGCATGTATCTGTAAAGACGAAGCAGAGAAACTGTCGTCCAAATTCTCCGCATCAGATGGGTCCAGCTGATAATCATTCGTGTAGAAGAAGTCCACCATTTTTTCGACAAAGATGGGACAATCTTCTTGCATCGAAATTTCTCCGCTAAAGGTTTCCTGCTATGAGTCAGCTTTCAGTCGTTGAACTAGAAAGCCAAGTTCTATAGTATACCTTGAATCCTATAGTGCACATGGTGTTGAGCACTTTGGACTGTGAACAAACTATCATTTGGTGGACCTCTATGCGGGTCTCTCCACAAAGAATTGTCAAGTCGGAAAAGTCACCGGTCTGTCTGCATCTACTGTTATAAGCAAGATGCTGTGCCTTGAATTTAATTAGACTAACCTTGAAATGATGTTGAATAACACCCTCCCAGGTTGGGGCTCAAGTCCAGACATAACGACGAAGAGGACAAGGCCTAGTTGAAACACGGACTCCGGGAAACCGCTTTATAACAGCAATCGTTACCAGAAGTTTTTTAGAGTTCACAGTAATACAATAATAATGTGGGGAAAGTTGAACAAGAAAGAATTTTCCAAGAAATAGTATCAGGGCAGGAATTGGAATGAAATCAATGGTGTTCCGTTGTTTCTAGTTCTTTAGGAACATTTAGGAATGTGGTAGATTTCATACAGCTCCCAACTTGATAGTGCTGAGAAAGTTGTCGCTTTTAACTCGGAGAACGCGAACATTGTGAGATCGCAACCGGTATTTACGACATTACTGATGTTATGCAGGTTCATGTTATGCCAGATTCCTAAACAAGCATTTTTCTCTTTTCCTATCTTAGTTTTATCCATTATTCTATATTAGGACCATAATTTGCTACTTTTTCTCAGCTGGCTAGATGCTATGTTATACAGAGGGTATTGGAACAGAGCCAAACACACTCGCGTAACCGGGAGTTTATATGAATATAGTGAGCTTGTACCACATCAGCTACAATTGATGGCTGCGGTCTCAAGGTATTCCAAATTACGGGTCTACAGTATATCGTTTCAAATCATGTAGTTAATCCTAGAATATATGCATTGGACAGGATTTGATTATAGTAAATTGACCAATTCAGGCTACTATATTAGCTGTGGAGACAAAAGAGCCGTCCATGCATTACTGCGCCTTTCATCTGCCATTTTTCTGCCTCACTTTGTAGCCAAACTCTATTGACTGGGTATGCGGCGGCTATACCACTACCTTGACCGCCGGCATTTCCGGCCCCCATATCTTCAAATTTCACCGGTTGCTCGATTAGAGACCTCAAGCTCACGCAGACTTGCCTCCGTTGTTTGCTATAGGGTAAGCTTATTAGCTTAGTCACTCGTTTTGAGACGACACTGGGTTCAACACCAAGGAGTTTGAAACAGCAAACAATACACTCAATACATCTTTTATTCGACCGATCAAGCGCAAGTTCCATCAACGTTGAAGAAAAAGCAATGAAACACGGCAAATAAATTCGACAATGACAACAACAACAGATGAGGTTTGACATAACACACAGCTCAATACTCTCAACTTCCCTTTCCTCTTCAATCCCAGGGGTAGAGTGCTCTAGGATTCGTATGAACGAAAAGTGCGGTGCCAGCTCATAGTCTTCGTAGTCCACGTTAGTGGTCAAGGAGACCCTTCGGGATAAGAACGTATTGGTACGGTATTCGAGATTGTGCAACCTTTATTGAAACCGATTCTCTAGTCACTCTCAGAAGCATCCGTCCAAGATCACGGGGTATCGTTTCTTCATGATACTCACTTGAAAGGAGGTTACCATAGCAAGGATTACAACACACAATATCCCAACTGCCTTTGTATGTGGCCACGAGCTTTGCCGTCTTCCGTTTATGACATTGACTGCACGCGAAAGCAGTGGCCGAAGAAAGCCTATGCAATGTCCATTGACATTGCGGGGGGAAGGTTTTCACTATTTTGAGTCGAGATAGCGATAATTTCGGAATGCATAGCTCCTGTGTTGAGTTCACAGCTTCATTACTTGAAGACAAGTTCGACGACATTTTCGCTTACTGATGCAGACTTGAATGGGGAAGCCTGAATGTAAGGGGACTATAGTGGCTTTATAGGCTGGCGTAGCCGTCAAAGACAGCTGCGCGGCGCACAATTTGTCCTTCCGCACTTTCTAAACCATTCTGAGGCTTAGACTAGCGATATACAGCTCGTATACCAACATGTACACATGCTTTAGCGTGTAAGCCTCGCTTCACAACGTTCCTTTTTCTTTTCTTTTCTTTCTTTTTTTAGAAAACAATTAGTCTGATGCTAGAACCTGGTTTCAACCATGTTGATCTAAATTTTCCATGCATGGGCAAGGGTAGATGAATCGGAATGAATTGACTTAGAGTTACCAGTGAGTCATTCTGTTAAATTCGAAGGCCACTATCCAGCACTGTAATCGCACTTTTGCCAGCTCGACACATTCTCCACAATTCTTGCGTTCCTAATCGCTAGCCTTGATTCGCTATTAGCTGTTGCCTCCGCAAGGCACGGAATCCATATAGTGTTACTGATAAAGTAAGGGCAGAGTAGTGGCGAGACGTACGTACCTTTGAAACGATTAAGAGACCAGTTACTTGATATTGCGACCAAAAGATAACTGGGTATGCACCTCGCTAACACGAAAGGAAACATATCTCAGCCAAAATCTCTTTCATTCTATAAGTACCTACTTTTCATTAGGTCACGATCGCCGTTTCGAGCCAATAAGGTAAGACATTACTGTTAACTTTGTTGGAACGCTTCTCAGCGCCGAGACTCCAGAAGAGAACTTGCCACACGGAACAGTACGCTTACCGACAGCCGTGAGGTTGTCTGCTTGCCGAAATATGCCCGATCAAGCTTTGCTGAAACGCAGCAGGCAATTACTTCGATGTAGTCACGTGACTGATTAGGCCAGCTCCTGCGGTGCAGGAGGAAGCTATGTCTACTGTTTGACGTTCTACCTTTGAAAAACATGCTGAAATCAAGTAATTCGCATCCTCATGATCCCGAGTTGTAGTTCAGGTGCTCCATATATTATTGCAGTAGAGGCGAGAGGCTATACCCGAAAGGCCCGCAGACCTCCATACCTCTACAACTCCCAAAAGTATATGCGCATATACATTTTATACTCCCAAAATAATGTTTAACTTTGCAATGTGCTGGTCTATGAGCCATTAGTGTGACGTAGACAGGGCTACATTCATACGAGCGAAGTGGGGAAAGATCGTTAATCCTCCAAGATATTTGCCAGTCAGCCATGATAAGAAACAACTTACAACTCATCCAGGAATCCGACTTGCGATTTAATGCACTTAAATCTCGCAGCTGGCTCAAATTGATACTGTTCTTGGACCCCATAATTTATCTAATTAGACTGTAAGGAAGCCACAGAAGGAGTGAAACAACGCATCATCAAGAGGAAAAGGCTCTGCACAGTCTGAAACCTGCAGGTTGCGTAGGGTGGCTGGCTGGGTTAGGTAAACTCAGCTCGTCAACCACTGCGCGTATCATTTGCTCAGTCATTGGTTTTACTCAGGCACCGCTTTGATTCCACCCGCAACCTCCATCACAAGATTGCAAACAGATGCAAAACGACTTCGCCAGCCTCATTCCCGTTTAGATGGTCTTCCATACGACTGTGTCAAGATCAGCAAAAGGTTTCTATTCAAGAATTCACAGGCAGACCTACCAAACATGTTCCGCATGCGTCGCCATTCTGCCAAACAAAATTAGGGCAAGAGTGACTTTTTTGGTGGAGGCATTGGAATCTGTGGTATCCGTGGTTGATATGGTCCATGACGTTCATATGTAGGAGAAGGCGAGAAATGGTTCAGTTGAGTTACCCCTGACGGACCTTGAAGATGAAACCTAGATTTGAAGTACGGAATGGAACAGTGAACGGGCACTAGGCAGCATATGAGAGGGGCACGAAAGCAGTTTTCACAATAATATATCAATCTCACAGATAGTGTTCCAGTGTAACCTAGTCAGCATTGACACGTCATTCGGTTCTCGCATCGTATCGCATCGCATTACAAGTGCAGGAGCACAAAGGGAAAAACAAATTATCGGCCGCATTGTGACTTGAACAGAGAGGAAATACACTAGTCAGTTAGGGATAGTAAATAATCGACGTTTTGTACTTTGCGTCTATGCCTTTTTGCTAGTAGTCAGTCAAATCGTGAAAGGATTTCGAAGGACAGAAAGACTTGCTTCGATTCTTCTAAAAAACATTTGACAAGAGATACCAACACTTCCATTATTGGTAGGACTCATAGAATTCATAGCTGCTTGGTCCATTTCTCTCTTTTGGGTGAGATGGGCAACACAAGCTAGTGTCAATATCCTTGCGCCATCAACAAGTCACAACCTATGCTGTGAAACACTCCAACTCAACGAAAATTTTTTCCACCACGCGGTGCGAGCTCCGTCATCGATTGTTAGAAATGGCGTGATAAACTCTTTTTCGCGTGCGATGGTGGACTCGCAATCTATGAAAGTCCATCACATGTGTAACAGGGCAAGCGAGCTCAGCTCCCTTTCTTCCATATTCCAAAATTAGGATACTTGAACGATACGACCTCTGATTCAATATGTATCGGTCTGGTATATCTTCGCAGAAACCTTTTCTTGTCTCAAGACTGAGGTCCTCGTTCAATTTTCTCTTAAGTCTCTTCGGTGGCTTCATTCAGTTCTAGCGACGAGTCATCTGTCGTACGTCCCGGCTCAAGATAGTGGTTTTTGGCCTTCATCAACATCTCCTTGAACGCACCGAGGGTGATTATTGTAGCTTCTTGACCCAGAACTCAGCTATTCCATAAGCCACCGTTCCAGTTGAATATTCCCCCTCGTGACCATAGCAACCATAGATCGCAAGCCAGCCTGGGTTATACGGTGAATAAAAGTCACCTGAATACTTAGACATACTGTGAAAGCTTTCAAAGTTCGTTGGAGTCAAAGTAGAGGAGTGCAGAACGCCTGCACACCACTTCACTCCTCAGGCAGGGCTGTAGACAATGGATCCCTTGCTGAGCCATGCCACTATCTGCATTGCCGCCCATTTGCAGGTGAGTTGATTGTTGAGGTAATACTAAGACCCACCGCGAGCATTGCTGCTACTAGGTGTACGCAACAGCCAAGTACATGTTGGAGTAAGTGTATTACAAAGCCTTGAAGTAGCGCAAATTCTTGATGCAGGTATATCGTGCGATAGAACATAATAAACCATGCCATTCTCTGAAGTCTGTAATTTCCTCTCCCCGGCTACTGGAATATATAGCCTTGAACCAACAACTTCTTACTTGAGAAAAAGACATCTTTCAGTGATGGCAAAGAAACCTAAGAAACCCCTCCGTCAGACTCGACCTATCGTTCGGCCGATACCAACTAATCTGGTGCCTCCCACACCGGAAACTTTTCCAGATGATGACAGGCCCGAATCATCGTATGACTCCCTCATTTAACTGATTGAGTGAGCTCTAACGGGACGGGATTTAGCCCATACACAAGCGCTACTGTGTCACTCATTTTCGGGAAAGGAGCGACCGAATACAAGGTGTCAAAAGCTCTTGTTCGCCAATTCATGGTTTCAAAGGGGGAATATTCCTGCTATGGCCATCCCAAGTACAACCTTCCGACGATCGATGAGGATATAGCACATACACTTGTGCACTATCTGAACACTGGCGCATACCAGACCTTGCGGACGACTGACACAAACTTGAGTGAGCGTCATGTGAAGGAGCACGAGCGTGCTTGGAAGGTCTACGTTACAGAAAAGGCGCATGGTTTGAATAGACTAGCGGTATTGGCAAGAAAGAAAATCTGTTCTCTAAACGGCATACCACTAGAAGATGTTTGAAATCATGTAGAGGCCGCATTTTCCAAGCTTTCTGTGGATGACGACTGGCTAAGCGGCAAATTGCAGGAAGCCCTCAAGTCAGCGCTCTCTCCAGATGGCGCTAATTTGAAAGCTTCGGACTTTTGTCATATCAACTCGCAGTTCGCAAGAGCAGTGCTGAGGGGTATCATGACAGTTGTCCTCGGCATGGTGACCGAGTCTATTCAGAGAAGAAGCGGCCATGAGGAAGAGCGTTACCAACTGGCGCCTGTACCGGGAGAATGCAACGCCAAGACTCAGTCAACCTACTCTCTTGAAAGTTCAACATCCAGGGCACTCTCCCATGATATGAGCTATGCCAACCCTATCATGTCAACATACTCCGGTATCTTTAGCGGGGAAGTCGAGAATAAAAACACGCCGTATGACGGTGAGAAGGAGAGAAGCAATGCGCCACCTGCTGGTGTAACCGGTAATCATTAATTTCCCTTGACCGCTGCCCAATTTTTCATATGATGTTAGCTAACTATTGATTCTACAATAGGTGGCTTTTGCGAAGACGAGACTTGCAAAGATTGGAATGATCTATTCGTCCATGATGGGCCCGAGAATCCCGAAGGATGCCGGTATGGTGTACCTGCTGAGGACTGCTCAGACAAGTCAGAGGTAGAAGAAACCCAAAATTCTCCACCTCACCTGTTCTTGCCGAATCGCTTGCTCTAAATCTATTCTCTGAGGAGGAGCTTGCTATTCTACTTCCGGACATTCCCGAGCCAAGATCTGAAGCGACGTGCAATCCAATAGACGGCCTTCCAGTCGATCCCAAACACCACTGTAGTGCGTCAAGCAAACTGAGCAAGAGTGAAAAGAAGGGGAAGTCTGGAGTATGCTGCGGCTACGAAACGGATGCTCTCTCCGACCATCCATATGAGTCCGAGTCGACAGCTATGAAAGATCGCCATTCCTCTTCTGGGCCAGATTCTCAGGCCACATCAGCAAAGAAACAAGACACGGGGGGCGTACCTTCCGTAGTCCCATCAGAAGGTCATCCTCCATTACAACACTCATTTTTGTCCCGAGTGAACGAAACGATTTCTGGTCGGGCTTGCCATATGATGGAAGAACACCTGGCTGACCATGGCTGGAAGCATTGCGATATGTGTCGCCCAATTATTCTCATGGTGGTACAGAAGGCATATGGTTGGCTAGATGAGAACTGAACCGGTAAACTCAGTTTGGGTCTTTAGTTTTCCTGTTAGTTTCGAGTTCCAAATCCCAGACTTTATCTCGGTTAATTAAAGCCTCGAGTTGACTCCTGCCATGTACCGGAAGCCAGTTATCTATCTACTCGGACATTGAAGAATCCACGGACAGATCTTTTACTTAGTTGCGGTAGCCCTTTGATCTTTCCTATACATTTGCTCCCTTATTTTAAACCCATCCACTTCAGTTATTTGTCCACATTCGTATCTGTAGTCAAGAATAACGAGTTTTCTCAATTCCTACTACCTATCTCATTTCTCCATGTCCAGCCATGAGCTCTGATAGTGGCCTGGAAAACACTAAGGTAATTCAATGAGATTTCTTTGAAGCTGCCATCTATTCTGATAGCTGACCTTTTTAGGATCTACAGTCCCGCGTAAAGATGGTTAGGTGGACTAGCACGCCGAAATTTTCCGAGTACGCCGTTGTCACTCTTCATTCTACCTCGAAGCAAACGGCCATGTCTAACTCCAGAAACAGGCTCATCGCAAGTCCATGCGTTATCGTGATCGTTGGTCTAAACGGAGAAAAGAAGAAATTTTTCCTTCATGAAGAGCTGCTATTCTACGAATCTGAGAAGTTCCGTGCTCAATTCCAGGGCAGTTTCAGCGAAACAACCACATGTTGCCTCCCTGATTGTGAAGAAGACGTAGAGTTGTTTCGTTTCTTTGTCTATATCTTTACCGAGATGGGTGGGTAAGCTCCAAGGAGATCACGCACCAATCCGATTATGTCAGTTTGGCCCGGATATACAGCATGGGCGAAAGGCTGCAGGCCGAACGCTTCCAGGAAGCCGTACTGTGGAAGTTCGCTACCGGCTTTTCCAATGCTACCATCCCCGACCAAGCAATTTGCGAGCTCCTAGAGATCGTCTGCACGGAGCTTCCTGAAATGTCGATTGAGGACCGATTGCGGGATTTGGTCTTCTGGTATGCAGCGAGCAAGCTTTCCTCTCTGAATAAATACAACATCTTCCAGAAAATGATGAGGGAGATGCCTGATTTGGGGCGTTGCCTTTGCATGACGGCTGGTAATGGTACATCAGAGCCGCCGTGCAACAAGGCGAAGGAGCCAACTTCCAGATTTCATGCGGAGTCAGATGTATATCTACCTTCCAATCAGCCTGGTGGCAACACGAGCTGTTGAATATCTTCAGAATACGTTGTCTTCCAGAGTTTCTCTCAATATTGTCAGTTTCTACCTTTCCAAATTGATGGAAAATGAGCTCAATCACTTCCTTTGTTTGTTATTGGATAAATTCATTAGCTTAGTCATTCCTTCTGAGACAACATTGAGTTCAACACCAAGTGGATTGAAGCAACAACCAAGACACTCAATTCATCATTTGTTTGACCGATCAAGCGCGAATCCCATCAAACCTACTTTGTGTTGAACTCAATGTCGTTTCAGAATGAGTGACTAGGCGAATAAACTTATCCAATAAAAATAGTGGAGATGATTGAGCTCAGTTTCCATCAGATCCCTTACGGCATGGGAGCCCCCAAGGCAAAGACAAGGACCGATGGTCTAGGTGGGTTTTGTTGTGGAATAAGGATGACCATGCATATGTGGATCATGTCAGGTCAGCCACCTGCGTCAACCCCTGCTTAGCCCTTTAGACAAGCTTTGCTAGATCTGGGAATCGGTTATTTAGCCCTTACCAATGCTTTTCAGTAGTGCTAAGTATTGATCGCTTGTGGGGATAATCGTTGATGACCTGCGGCAAGTTCACCTCCGCAACTTTTGGGAAGTCCGAACGGTATACTGAGAGTGTAAATACTCAGTAGTAACTAGCTATGTATATTTGTTATGTAATATGCCAATGAAGTTGAGATGCGCCACCCGTTAAGTGTGTAGGATGCTAGATTCGTATGGGGTAGTCCCTACATTCCTGAGATGCTCATCCAGCCCCACGCTAGGATTAGCAGCGATGTCATAGCTGCAGGCAGTAGCATCCTTCTCCAAAATCACATTTGTTTTTCTTCGGTATTCGACGGGGTTTATTGCGTGTAACTATTACCACATGCCTGTTAAAAGGTAATCCGCAAGTGCGAATGTCTTTTTTAAATAGGCCCCCAGTTTCTGTGGAGCAGCTAGCAAACGCTGGCGTTGGATTGGAGACTCGAGTAAACTTGGCCATTTTCGCTCTTGTCGATGGAGGCTGGAAAACAAAAGAAGTCGGACGTGGGGGCCCAACAGTTTTAGTCTAAGCCTCGGTTGCCGTTGCACAAAGACATCAGGGGCGAAGGGCAGACATTACCGCAAACTGTCTCACGGTTTTGCGAGATGTGCAGATCGCATGCGATCCTTCTTCCTGTTGTAGAGCACCTACTGTAATTTAGAATTCGTTGGTACTGTTGGTCCGGGTTTTGAAAGGATGGTTTCTTAGCCCCGAGTAATGCCCAAAGCAGACATTTGTCTGCAGATCGCATCCATCTTGTTGTCAGATACCCGTGCAACCCCAACTCACTGCTCCTGGGCTTCCCGAGCTGCTCTGTTGGATGTCTTTAGTATTCTGCATTGATGGAAATAGCGAGGGTAGAGTATAAGGTGGAAAACCTATAAAGTCCACTGCTCCTGCGCCCTTGACTGCTCAACCACAAGCCTCTTCACTCTCCACTACTCGACGTCACATCTCTACACTTTGCAAACTCGACCGCAAAACTCGACCTCAAACCTCTTCATCAACAACCATGAAGTTCTCTCAGATCACCCTCATCGCTGCGGCCCTCGCCTGGCCTGCTGTCGCCGCCGTCGCTGCCGAACCCTCTGTAAGTCGTCGGGCTATTATCCGCGCGCAACACGCCACTAACAAACACTTCTAGGAAAATCTTAACGACCTCGTCACCCGCGCCACTGTTCAAAAGTGTGGCAGCGGCCAGATCGCCGAGGACTGCCAAAGGTGGTGCGGTTGTGCTGGAAAGAAGGGGAAGACTATGTGGTGCGATGAGGAACAGGTTAGCCTGCAGACGTGCAAGGATATTGGGTGCAAGTGCAAGAACTGAGTGGATGGGAAGAAAGAACGGACTTTACAGCACATTTCTTTTTCTTGTTTTGATGGTATTTGCTCGTGAGGATTCCATACCACTCGCTTCTGTTTGCTTGTCGCTTAGCAACGTTAACCAGTTACGCTGCCTGCAGAGTTAGTCTATCCAATCAATCGCGTTCTGTGTTTTTCCACATTAGCCAGAGTGCTTTTTCCAGTAGCTTCATACCTGCACTTTGTACATCGCCCAAAGACATATGCTCCAGTGGATTCGAAAGAGTAGAGTCAACTGGCGCATACACAGGATATCTAAAGGAGGTAGGCATGCATCCAATTTCGCATGGAATGTGGAAGCTGGCCGCTTCGCGCAGCGGCTAGAACGCTAGCATCATTCCTTGCATGCGGGAGGAGCCGAGCGTGCGGGTCCCTGGGGAGTCGCAACACCGATGAAACGGATTAATGCCATGCCAAACTAGCCGCGCATAGACGGTGCTAATCAGATTCGGGTGCACACACTCCGCCTGCTAATCACCCTTGCTGCTAGCTGCTCATAGCCGCTGTATGCGGCTTTCCAGCAACGCGCCGGTCTTAGCGCCGAGGAATTTTTCTGGTATTTCTTACCGCAGTTTCATCTCACTCACTCACTTTCTATAAACCATGGATAATTTCAACCTCACGACCACCATCCTGCTCCCGGCGCTTCTTGTCGCCGGGGTGACCATGTTCATTGTTTTTAACGCTAACGACGGCATCTTCGACAAGATTATCGACGATATCTCTATTAAGACTACGCCTAGTACAGATAACATACCTCTAACCCGCGAATGGACCGGCAACACCGTATTTGACCAGCTATTCGCCGTGTTTCTAATACTCGCCCGGCAGCTGCTCGGTGGCCGCCACCCTGCTGGCACCCTGCATACCCTGCACTTCTTCGGTCAGATGGGCGCCTGCTGGACTCTAATGCAGCTGGAAGCGAAGCGTGAAGACAACAATCGCCGTATTTTCGAGTGGTACACCTTTGCCTCTCCTACACCAAAATCATACTACTGACACTGCACCCCCAGCACCACGCTTATCATCCTGCTCTACCCGAACGTTTCCTTCGCCATAACCATCCCGCTCTGGTGCATCCTCCACCTACGCACCCTCCCGCGCACCAACTCGGCCACCCTCACCGTCAACCTCTGCCTCCCCGCCACTGAAGCTCGCATCCTCCCTTGGGCTATGACGCTCGGCTACGTCCTCCCCATCCTCGCCATGGCCTTGTCCCTTTCTCGCGCCCTCGCCCAGCAGTTCTGGCTGCTCTTCCCGCTCTTCCCGTTCTGGGTCTACCTCGCCAGCAACTCCGTCCTGCGCCCACTCTTCGGCGCCGGCACCAGTATGACCCCAAGGCCACTGTTGTCGTTGCCGCCAGCGGCATCTTACCACGCCACCACGACGCCCCACCTCTTCGCTCTCCTACTCGCCACCATCACGCACACCGCCACCCTCTCCCTCTCCCTGTCCGCCCTCCTCTTCCCCGCCCTCTTCCACCCCGAGATGGCCGTGTCCCTCCACCCCGCGGCTGTCTTCCTGCCAAAGCTGTCGCTCGCCGGCGCGACGGAGGTGGAGTTGGCAGAGGGCGCGACGCGTTTTCTGCAGTGGGATGGATATATTAGTAGTATGGCGAGCGTTGTATGGGCGGCGACGGTGTATTTGCAGGATACGCGAGTGAAAGGGGGGAGGAGGTTTGGAGTGTGGGGCGTGCTGGTGAGGGCGGTGGGGTGGAGTGTTCTGGGAGGACCGGCGGCGGCGGCGGTGGGGTTGGTTTGGGCGAGGGATGAAGTTGTACTTGGGGCGGAGGTGGGAGGGATGGGAGGAATGAGCTTCTTGTAGCGGCGGGCCTCTGCCTCTAAGGATCCAAGTGTCGAAGAGGGTAGTAAGCCGTGGGATTTACCTTGAGTGGGTACAAAGGCAGAGTGAGAAGTAAGCAACGAGATAACGTGACTGAGCACTGCATGTGTGAAGGCCATGTTACCATCAATGAGTAAGATTGCTACGAGCGCGGTGACTACTGATGTTGTTATTGACATTCATAGCTGTAGCAACGCTCACTGCTACGCTATGGCTTCTTGCAACTACTGCGACTTCAAATATGCAAAGCAGAGTCTTGGTGAGGCAAAAAGGCGGTGAGGGGGCGGGAGGACTAAACCTAAACCAGAACCTATGTAGGGTGGATTTAAAAGAGTAAATTCGAGTATATATCTTAGGCGTTTCTCGAGTGAACCGTAACCATACTGATGGTAGACCGCGACCGCCCCACAGACCCAAATGCTAATTCACTACCATTCTAGCACTAGTTAGAGCATCGCATATCCCGCAACGCACGCGGTGGCGCTGCTGATATACCCAAGTTGAGGGATTTGTATTGGTGCAGCTCGATGAAAAGGCTTAGGCTGGCGGGCCCGACGGACCACGACGTCGCCGAGTCATTGGAGAAGGCAGAAGGCAGCGCGTTTACCTTTATTACCTTCGGGGGTGGGGGGCGCTCTGCTTCACCTCGAGGTGGTGGACTCAGGCCATATTCCTCGACGACTCTTGCCGCTGCCGTGGTTGACGGCCGCTGAGCCGGTCCCTGCAGTGTCGTGCCAAAACTAGCCCAGTTTCGCACCTGCGCTACTTCGAGATATCCCCCGGAGGCGGCGAGGGCGGCGAGGGAGGCAGTGGCGGGCATGCAGTCGGACCGCCCGAACCTCTACTGCCGGGTTGGTCATCAACGGCAGACAACACGTGGGCGGAAGCTCGCTTCCCTGCATGATGGGCTCGCGCAACCCCGGGGCGAGGCTCTCGGTGGTGTTGCTGCTGCTGCTGCTGCGGCGGCGGCGGAGGGGGTACCAAAGCCTTGGGCGGGTGGATGGATGAGAGCGTGCGCGCTGCTGATACCCATCCCAAGCCTTGCGCCTGCCAAACCCGCTCTCAGTCCCTCCCTCGCCCTTGCGCGTGCCATCGGCCCTGCGCGTGTTCTAGGTGCTCGCGCGCCGCGCGTCGCGCGCTGGCCGTCTATATCCGATCCAATGAAAAAAGAAAACGACCCAGCATTATACTCAAGAGCTATGATTTATTAGCAGCAGGAGGAAAACGGATTATTGCACGCTTGTAGGTATATATATCGTCAATAGTAATGCACACTCCAGAGTCAAGTTGAATGTTTTGCTTGATAGTCGAGACGGATAGCAATCTAAAAACGATCCTGGACTAGACTAGACTGGCCCCAAGTCTTCCGACCGAAAATACAGAACGCGTTCGCAAGGCAAGACGCTCTCTCCTCGTCAAACGTCTCCCTGGCCACCGCCTGGGCCAGTTCGTCCGGGGCGGCCTTCGTCCTCAGCGCGGCCGCCTGCAGCTTCACCAGGTCCTCCAGCACGCGCAGATCCGCATCCCGGTGCAGATTCTTGTTCATCCAGCGCCGCACGTGCTCGACGTGCGCCTCGAGGTTGTCGGTCCATGCGAACGACGTTGGCGCCGCGGCGCACTGCTGGATCACGGCCCTCACGAGTGCATCGCGCCCTGCGTTGAACGCTCGGGCGTCGCATTCCTGCGCGCAGAAGCCGAGGTGGAGGAGTTGCGGCAGATAGTCGTCGTGCACCTTTGGAAGAACTTTCGACGTGCGGAAGATGAGTTCAGTAAGGTCGTTACAAAGGTAGAGCTCGCGTGTAGTCGCAAGGGCGGAGGTGGTGGAGCGCGGAGCAGGTGAACAGTAGACAGTCTCGGCTAGGGGATGAGTGTCGGATAGTGCACCGCTGGCGACAGAGACGGTGGTGGCAGCGACAGAGGAGACCGTCGTGCCAGCGACGCTTGCAGGTAGAGGATAGAAGGGAGGGCTGGGTGGTGGAAAGCTGTTGCAAACAAACATTGTGTCAGCATCACTAGGAGATGGTGCCGCTGCCGCAGCGCGGAGGCGTTCCTGAAGACTTTCTGCTGAACTTCTGTGGAGGTCTTTTGCAGCATCGTTACCACTGTGAGAGTTGCCTGCAGCATGGACATCGGGTTGAGTTGGAAACACTTCAGTCGGGGTGAGCTCTGAGTCCAAGGGAGCCTCCATATAACCCGAGAAAGCTTCGTGCGCTGTGCGTTTCGGAGGTCTCTCGACGCCATTGCTCAAGGTAGATCTGACAAAAGCCACTTTGTCTCCGCCCGACAGCGGTGATACGACCGCATCATCGTATCGTGGGGGGGCGTCTTCAACAAGTGGGTTCCATAAGGAGCTGTGTGCCTCATCGCCGGGATATTCGGACCAGCAGTTTGCAGCAGCGCGTAATCCGTCAGGATAGATTGAGGAGTAGTCGATAGCCGGCGTAGTCGCGTTCTTTAGTTTCGAGCTGATGTCGACCAGGCAACACCGGACGTAATCGTCAGCCCTGAGGTACAAGTCTAGATCACCCGTCTCTGAAAGCGTCTGCAAGCAGGATAAGATCTCGGCGGGAACGCCAGTTACGGGTTTCTGCAACTTGCGGCGTTGGACGGGCATCACAACGAAGGCGAGAGCGCCGAGGTCGCAGCGTACTTTCAGATGATTCTCGCAAATGTACGGGCGCACCTCGTCAGACACAAGATGCACGGTCAATGAGAGCTGTTCTGTGGGAATGACCAAGTACATGTCGCGGGGGCGCTCGGAGGTCGAGGCATGAAGTTTGATAGGAGCGTGTATGTTGATCAATAGGCGCCGCTCGATTGCCTCATCCTGTCTAACATGCAGAGTCAGGTTGGCCTTGGTGTTGTCCGCCCCGCCGAGTCGTCCGAGATACCTCCGCCTGCCCGTTGTCTTGTCCAACCATCCCACCACCACTTGTTCCCTCAGCACTGTCTTCAACTTGTCCCCGGTGACCTGTAGATCGCGATTGGAAGATGCCATAGCGCTAGTTGACGAATACGCGATCGAGAATGTGGTGAAACGGCAAACGGTGACTCCTATCACGAGTGTCAATGACAACGACAATACGAGGAAATGGGCGCAGGCGACGACACGACGCGCACAACAAACCACCGCGGCCAAGGTATCAACACTTACGACGGGCCGGTGGAGCGCAGGATCTAGGACAGCTGGGCACTGCGTGCTGGAGCCGCCACTAAAAGCAAGCGCAAGGCACCAACACAGCGTCGGGCTGATAGGGGCGTAGGTGGCCGAAGTGCGCGGTGTGACGCCCGCGGAAGAGTTCAAGGATGTTGGTGGAGTGTGCAGCTAATGAATCTCGATGAAAAATTCGATAGAATGATGTTGTTGAGGTGGATTATGTTGGTTGTAGTCGGAATTGCAGCGCGAACGCGTGCAACGCAATCGCCAAGCCTCTGGCCTTGGCACGCCATCGGACTTGGACAGTGCGCAACATGCCTGCCAAGCTTGTCGCGCGGCCACAACAATATGGCTAGCGATGGATTACCCAGCACCTAGCGATCGGAACGCAATCCAAATGGGACTAAATATTTTCCTAAGTCTTTCATGTCAATGCTACAAATTTGTGCATTATACGTAAATATTGGCGGCATGCCATCACTACGCGCATCGTCGACGGATTATGATTTTGCAGCAGCCGGTAGAACATCGGGAGCCATGATTAATTAAAGCCGCTTCAAACTTGTCTGAAGGCATCGGTAGGCGTGGAGATTCATCACACACATCATTTCCAAGTATCATCGCACCCTCTTAGCCTCTTTTTTAACGCATGTCTTCAAGCAAGATCCAGCAAAGTCCTCTGCAAAAATCTGCCTATACCATCGGCTGGATTTGCGCCATCCAAACTGAATTCGTCGCGGCTTGCGAAGTCCTCGACGAAGAGCACAGCCCCCCGCTGTTGGAGGCAACAGGCGATAGCAATGCGTACAATTTCGGCCGCATCGGTGATCACAATGTCGTGATCGCAACCCTGCCTAAGGGAAGATATGGGACAACGTCTGCTGCGGTTGTGGCAAGAGACATGCTGCGCACCTTCCCGTTGATCAAGCTTGGTCTTATGGTTGGCATAGGTGGCGGTGCTCCATCCACAAACAGCGACATCAGACTGGGCGACGTTGTGGTGAGTGTTCCTGGCAGCAGAGCTGGCGGCGTTGTGCATTACGACTTCGGGAAGACGGTCCAAAGCAAAGAATTCCAGCGAACAGGGTCGCTCGCCGCCCCACCACCGATTTTGCTTACCGCGCTCAGCCAGCTTGGGGCTCAACAGGAGCGACGCGGCCATAGAATCGCAGAGACTGCTGCTGAAGTTGTAAAGAAAAACCCAAGGCTCAAATCCAAGTACCAGAGACCCGACCCTACGGAAGATCGGCTGTACCGTGCGACCTTCGTTCACGCCGACGACACCAAAAAGTGCCTAGATTGCTGTCAAGGCGAAGAGAGGGAACTCATCTACCGCCCACGTAGATCTTCCGATGCAGACGACCCCGTTATACATTACGGACTGATTGCTTCGGCTGATCGGCTGATGAAGGATGCTCTGCTCCGGGACACATTATCTGCAAAAGAGGGGATTCTCTGCTTTGAGATGGAAGCAGCGGGCCTTATGGACCATTTCCCATGCCTTGTCATCCGCGGCATTTGCGACTACTCAGACACGCACAAGAACGATACGTGGCAGGGCTTTGCAGCTGTAGCGGCTGCTTCGTACGCGAAAGAGCTGCTACAAGTCATTCCTGGAACTGAGGTAGAGGGTTTGCGGTCCTCCGAGGGAAGCGAAGACGAACGCTCGGGCGGAGGGCAAGTCAACAATTTTTCGGGGCCGATCAATACTTCCGGCGGCTACACGATCATGGGAAATCAAATGAACTCCGGTGGCGGCTCAATGCAATTTGGGTAGTGATGAAACTTCATTAGAAGATCTGCGGTGCATATAGGTAAGAGGAACAGTGGGCAACCTAAAGTATTGTGAAGGGGCTACTCGATCTTGGAGAGGAAAGCTGCTTGTTGGCCACTTTAGAGCGACGAGGATATATAGCCTCGCCCCGGACGGGTAGCTCAAGCGCTGGATTATTATTGGCCGCGGCGTAGCAGCCTAACGTGCGGACTGCCGACCAGGATCGGTCCATCCTGCCTGTATAGGATTAATAGCCCGCTTAGCCTCGCTGCAGCCCGTCGCTTATAACCTTGTTTGTTCAGCCACTCGGCGCTGCCGTGCGCGAGGGCTGGCAGTAGCGCAAACGGGGCGGTAGAATCTACATTACAGAGGCAACGCATCATATTCACAGAGAAAAGGAGCACGAAAATTTTCGGAACAATTTTATGCTTACTAACATTGGCTTCCTTCTTTCTGTCTTCTCGCCTAAAGAGAGCGGCGTGATTAAATTTCCAAATACACGCCACACATCAGATTTCGGAGGCGGTGCAGCCTCGCCGCACGCATGCATGGCTTGGCATCATCAGTCGGCATTTTGCCGACGGCTTTAAGTCTCAGCCGCAGTGTGACGTGGCTTACGCTGCCTCTCTCACCCTGAGTCGTCCTCTCGTTCCAGTCCAACTAGTCGCACACGAACGACAGGCTGCCGTCAGAGCACATTCACCTTGTTTTTTTTTTCTCATTAGTGTTGAAGGCTAGCATGCGCACACCGCTGATGGCCCCAGATGCAGCATAACAACTTCGGGCCTTTGAACACGGCTGGTGGGGTCAGTGTTGCTGGAAACACCATCTTCGGCCATACTATAAATTTCGGTGGTGAGTGTGGCTAGCTCGGTAGTCAAGCTCCAAAGCTAATTTCTTAGGTTCTTCCAATCATGACGACGAAAGAGACAACCGGTGCATACGCGCTTTACAGTCTGTCGACCCGCAAGATGAGAAGAGGAGGATCATAGACACGAAAGACTCTTTGCTCCAAGACCCGTATCGCTGGATTTTCGATGATCAAGCCTTTCAGGACTGGTTTCGCGGCGACACACGCCTCTTATGGATCAAAGGCGGTCCGGGCAAGGGCAAGACTATGATGACAGCCGGAATCATTGAATGGATTTTGGAGGAGGTGAAGAGGATGCCCGGGCAGAGCATAGTATCCTACTTCTTCTGCCAGAACACAGACAACCGGCTCAACCGAGCGGTCTCTGTCTTAAAAGGGCTTATTTTCATGCTTGTCACGCAGGACAAAACCCTAATACACCCTTTGCGAAAAAAGTACGATCAGTGCGGCGAAGACGGTTTCCAGAACGGCAGCGTGGTTTCAATGCTCCTCAACGTGCTGCAAGAAATACTTGCCAAGTCTAGCGGTATAACAATCTACTTCCTTATCGACGCACTGGACGAATGCGACGACCCGGAACTCGCTCGACTTCTCGATTGGGCTTCAGGCAACTGCGCCAATTTTCTGTGGGTCAAGTGGCTTTTCACTAGCCGACCTTCACCCGAGTTCGAGAGTTGTATCAATCCGGGCGAAACAAGACTGAGGATCAGTCTGGAAATTGAAGCACACAATGTTTCCCAGGGAGTCGAATCTTTCATCGAACATAAGGTCTGTGTCCTTTCAGGCAGGAAGAAATGGCCCATCTCCGTCATTCACGAAGTTCGCGACTACCTCAAATCGCATGCTGAGGGCACCTTTCTCTGGGTCGCTTTGGTTTGCAAGAGGCTTCAGACTCTCCCAGCGTGGAAGATCCGAGGAGAAATCGCACAACTTGGTCGACTGCGGCAAGGACTAGACAGTTTTTACGAGCGAATGATGCAACTTGTCCTCAGAGATAACGATTATGCAGAGGTTTGTGCTGAAGTTCTCCGGGCGGCAACTATCGCATATCGACCTCTTCGGCTGTGCGAGCTTGACAGTGTCACGAATCTTCCTCAGGATCTCATAGCCTACGACTCACCAGAACATGACGGCTTGGTTGAACTGGTCGAGAGATGTGGATCTTTTCTTACAATCCGAGAAAGCACGATCTACTTTGTACATCAGTCGGCGAAGGACTACTTAGACACGAGTGGAGCATCGCAAATCCTCATCTTGGACATAGCAGCACAACACAGCTTAATTGTGCAGCGATGTCTTAGCGCCATGTCTTCCAGCTTGATTTTCAAGGAACTGTCACATCCAGGCTCTCTGGCAGACGACCTTCTACCCGCAGACGAAACGGTACTTGCCAGGATGGGATATGTTTGCTGCTACTGGATCGATCACATCAACGATATCTATCAGTTAAAGAGGACTGGCGACGACGCAGTCTGCCTAAAGCAAGCGTACCAATTCTTCATGGATTACTTCATGCCTTGGATTGAGGTTGTAGCCCGACGAAAGGAGATCTCAGTTGTTATTAAGGCAATTCAAGTCTTTCAAAAGGTATGGCTACCTGTGCACGATTGAGCCATGTAATAACTTGAAGCAGACTGTAGTGAATAAAGCTCCCGAGTTTGGCATTCTTCTAGCTGACGCGTATCGATTCCTGAGGTACAGCAAGCACATCATCGAAGAAGATGCCGCACAGCTGTATCTTTCCGCACTACTTTTCTCTCCTCAAAATTCGAGAACTCGGATGAAGCATGCAGGTCGAATACCAAGGTGGATAAAGCTATATGGCAGCGTAAGGCATGAGTGGGGTGCAACCCTACAGACGCTAATAGGTCACTCGGACTCGGTCAACGCAGTGATGTTCTCGCCAGACAGCAGCCTTGTTGCATCGGCATCAGACGACAAGACGGTTAGGCTATGGAACACGGCGACGGGGTCTCAGATAACGGTCCTTGAAGGTCATTCCAACTCGGTCAACGCAGTGGTGTTCTCGCCAGACGGGAGCCTCGTCGCATCGGCGTCAGCCAACGAGACAATTAGGCTGTGGGATACGGTAACAAGGTCTCAGCAGGCGGTCTTTGACGGTCAATCATCCTGGTATAACGAAGTAGTATTCTCGCCAGACGGTAGCCTTGTCGCCTTCACATCAGACAACGAGACGATCACGCTATGGGACGTGGCAACGAAGTCTCAACGGGCGATGCTTAAAGGCCATTCAGAGTTCATTAATGCAGTAGCGTTCTCACCAGACAGTGGTCTCGTCGTTTCAGCATCCTATGACAATACGGTTAGGCTATGGGACGCGGCGACAGGTTGTCAACGGGCAGTACTCGACGGCCATCTTGACCCGGTTGTTGCAGCAGTATTCTCGCCCGATAGTAGCCTCGTTGCATCAGTATCAAGCGACGAAACGATTAGGCTATGGGACACGGTGACGGAGTGTCAACGGGCGGTACTCGACGGTCATTTGGACATAGTCGAAGCCGTAGCATTTTCGCCAGACGGTAGCCTCGTCGCTTCAGCATCAGGCGATAAGACGGTTATACTGTGGGACGTAGCGACAGGATGTGAGCTAGCGATATTCGACAACCACACAAACCCAGTTAATGCGATAATGTTCTCGCCAGATGGAAACCTCATCGCCTCAGCATCAAACGATAATACAGTCAGGCTATGGGATGTAGCAACGCGGTCTCAGCGGGCAGTACTCGATGACCATTCGGAACCAGTCAAAGCAGTGGTATTCTCGCCAGACGGCAGCCTAGTCGCCTCAGCATCAACAGATAGCACAGTCAGATTATGGGACGCATCGACACAGTCTCAGCGAGTAGTACGCACCGGCCATTCAGACACCATCACTGCAGTGGTGCTCTCGCCAGATGGCAGTCTCGTCGCCTCAGCATCTTTCGATAAGACAGTCAGGCTATGGGACACGGGGACAGGGTGTCAGCGAGCGGTGCTCTACGGCCACTTGCGTTCGGTCAACGCAGTAGCGTTCTCGCCAGACGGTAACCTTATCGCATCGGCATCGGACGACAAGACGACTAGGCTGTGGGACGCGGCGACGGGATATCCGCGGGCGGAACTCCACGGCCATTTTGACTTTGTTACCGAAGTAGTGTTCTCACCAGATGGCAGTCTCGTAGCCTCATCATCACTCTGTGGTGGGGTTATACTATGGGATGCAGTGACGGGACTCCAACGGGCGTCACTCGACGATCATTCACACGGGATCAAGACAATAGCATTCTCACCAGATGGAACTCTGGTTGCCTCAGTCTTGGGTAAAATGATTAGGCTATGGGACACGGCGACAGGGTGTCAGCGGGCGGTGCTCCACGGCCACTTGCGTTCGGTCAACGCAGTAACGTTCTCGCCAGACGGTAACCTTATCGCATCGGCATCGGACGACAAGACGACTAGGCTGTGGGACGCGGCGACGGGATATCCGCGGGCGGTATTCCACGGCCATCTTGACTCGGTCAACGTAGTAGTGTTCTCACCAGATGGTAAAGTCATCGCTTCGGCATCGAATGAAAATACAGTCAGGCTATGGGACGTTGAAGAGAAGCAAATCCTCCAAAGCTCATCTACTATTTTGCCTATCCAGTGGCTGATTTTCGAGCCAAATGGGGAACATATCAGTACCAACTGTGGGTCAATTAGACTTGAAACACAGCTGGCTATCGATACCACCCCTTCATGTCGGGCTTCACCTCAGACTTCACGCATTTCCATCCGGGATGGGTGGGTCTTTCTTAACAATTGTCGCATTCTCTGGCTGCCTGTGGAGATGCGGTCCTCGGCTTGGGACTCAAAACACAACGTATTAGCTTTAGGGCAGTCTTCTGGTATTATTTCTTTTATGCGTATTGATGGACCTTAAACTCAATCACTTCCAATTTTTCTTATTTAGTAACTTTACTAGCTTTGTTATTCATTTAATATATCTGTAGTTCGACATCAAACGGATTTGAATAGATGGGGGTCAACAGCAGTTAGGGAGGTGTCTTAATACTCAACCAAATGTGAGCCTGAAGAAATCACGGCTCTTGGAGGGAAGCTGATACGTTCATCATTTTATCCTCTGCTTTTGCTTTAGGTAACTCGATCTGTGGAATAGTACTAATTCTTGCTTGTTGGAATAACATGACTTAGGTCTCAAACATTCCGCAGAGAACCCAACTTATTGGAAAGATCAAGATACGGACCTTTATTCCAACCTGGTCAGAATTGATGCCATAGAAATCTCCCCTTGCAACAACCTATAGAATTTCTTCACTCACCTCATTCCACACCACTAATTTTTTGAGCCAAGTCGAGCTCACAAACCTTATCCTTGCGTATGCGTTACATAGACTACGTTGTTGTCCTAAAGTTACAGCACATCTATAAAGCAAGGGGATCTATCATTAGTTGTACCGTGCCCTATTTCATACCATTTTGAATGTAGTTTGCAGAGAATGGCGATTGGTGAAAGCAAGGGATCATTGCCGTCACAAACCCTAACGCCGCGAAATCAATTACTGTGGCGTGTAGAGAGCCTAGAGTTATTTTTAGCTACCAGACAATCTTCTCTAATTGTATTAGTTTTTTTTTTTTAATTTTTTCTTAGCTAGGTGAGGAGAACGGAGACAAACTCGAAAAATGATACTATTGAGTCCAACAAAGCTTTCAGTCATGCTATTTACTCCCTTGAACCGTCCTTAGTGCCATATTATGCTAATAGAAGAAATTATACCTTTAATCTGGCAAGGAACTTTTATCCGTGTTACCTTACTGCGTGGCTGGAGACACAGTTCAGGAAAACTGTACATAGCCCTAGCCTAACTGTCTCATAATCTAGGAAAGATCGGCGGTTTGTTGATCAGGAACTCGTCATACCAACGTCAGCAAGGATTCAATCTACGGAGCATGAGGAGGCATTTGCTGGTAGGACGATAGTGGATACCTGTCCTACCCACAAGACGTCACAGCATAACCCAAGGATTGAATCTAACCTGGTGTCATAAGGGGGTTTTAAATTGTCCATATCGGATTATCACAGATATTAGGCAGCTTTTGTAGTGCTTGTGTATTGCCTTAGTTTGAAGCAAGGGCCTTAATAGCAACGATGGAATGTATTAGCGATACCACAAACAAGTTGATTATGCAGACAGCCCAGCATGTCAATATCCATACTTTGAAACTCCGAATGAGGGTGATTCAAAATTCTGGTGCAGAGCTCCCTTGCTCTTGATATCCGAGGTGAGCTTCCTGGCTCCGGCCCTCCACGAGGCCGGCTTCTCCGATGATAGGTTCGTTCTCGCCACGACAGTCAGTCTAAAGAAGTCTGGCTACGTCACCCTTCCCAATAGCAATATGGAGGTCATTCGGCCCGCGAATGCAACCGCTAGCAACATCCTCACCGATCTGAAATCCCTTTCGCATACTCTCGAGTTCACGGTGTTCATGAAACCCAGTGATTATGCCCGGGCTGGATCCAAGTGCGTTTCTGACCACCTGCAAAATGATGCACTCAACCCGCTCGGTCTTGTTCTTGCCGCCAAAGTTGGCGCCAGTTACGTACCTCTCGACTGGAGCCGCTGCGAGCTGTTTGGGACTGGTAAGAAAGCCCGTCGTCATAGAAACAAGAGCCTTTCACGGAATGTGCGCCCACTAAGCTCCGTGGCACCCCCTCCGCCTTACCATAAGCAAAGCACAGCGGAAAATGCACTTCCGGTTGTATGTGTGCAGCGCAGCCCCAGCTGCGACGTCCCACCAGCTTTGCCCTCTCCGAAAGCCGTGGCGTCCGCCGTGGTTCCCGACACGCTAGTCGCTCCCCTCTATATTCCACAGCCTCCCGCCCTCGCCCCATCCCCAGGCGCGGTCATCACTCGCGTCCATCTCGAGCACAGCCTCGCGCTATGGACCGCCCAAGCCTGCACTGTCGATCCCGCCGTCTACCGCCACCCGCGCCTGTACCCCGCTCTCCGCGCCGCTCCCGCCTGCTGAGGTGCGGCCATAGAAACTAATCAACCCTGACCCAGCGCTTTCTACAATAGTGACCTGCAATAAATCGTCTAGGCACGGGTGATTATCCTCAACTGAATTTTAAACACCAACTTAAGCAGATACATGACTGTTAGCGCGTTGCGATGTAGTATGCGCCTTAAGTAACAGTGGAAATCTCCTTCTAGCCTTTGCCCAATTTCAGTACTCTTCATAAGTCTCCAAGATTTTTTGATGCTCCCTTTTGGCCACGCTGAGGACGAAATTGCGACAGATGTTACAGGAGTCCCACCCAGAAGCTAGATGCTCAGCTCTGTATCGACATTCATCGATCAGCGGTTCGGCCACAGCAGCGCGTCCCTTCTTCTTCTTCTTTTTCTTCTGCGCAAGAAATTCATTCCAACAATCATCTTCTACTGCCGCTTCGGCTAGGGCTGCAGGGTAGTCGTCAGCCGCTGTTTCCTCGGCAGCTGGCTCCGGCGATTGTCCAGCGTCTGCCGACTCTGCGGATTGTGCATCTGCATTGCATGGGTCCGGCGCTAGACCGTCGTCTACTATTACTTTATGAGAACGGTATCTACAAATGTTGCAAAAAAAAAAAACTAGACCCAGGGAATACTTACAGGCAGACTCAGCGGGCGGAGCTTCGGCATCAACTTCATCGAGATTGCATGAAACATCATTTTCCTCACGGCTGCAAGAAATGACTGACAAAGAACTATGTGTGAGCCCTTCAGACTGGGCCGTCTCCAGCGAAGTAGAACACTCCGCCTCGGCAACCGGCTCACCTGGAGGCACCGGCATGTAGTACGACTCTTCCTCAAGGCCGTTCTGGGCTCTGTCGGTGTTAGTCTGACTCATTTCCGCGAACAAGACTGCGGTGCTGTTCAGCATGGCTCTTGCGAAGCGTGATTCCAATTCTTGGTGAGGTGTTGGATCTGGAGTGTTGGCGTATGCCAAGAAGGTCCTCCTGAGGGTCTTCGCAAGATAGGTTGCAAGCCACTCGTCACTATCACACACCTCGGAAAAAGCGGCCTCGATGTGCTTCAGTATGTATCCGACTGGCACGTCCGAGTCGATGGCACACATCCGTTCAGTGGCCAGGAACTGCAGCTTCTGTAGCTCGTACTTCCCTCCTGTGACGTACAGGCTCAGTGCCCTCTTATGTTCCCTGATATTCCTTGCCATCCAAGTTGTTTCACCACTCCAAAGAGTCTCATATTGGCCTGTATGGAGGAAATGCACAAATGGATGCGCGATGTCCGGATCGATGTTAGGGAGATAGGCTGTTCGGCTGCTATCTCGGCAGGCCTTAGCAGAAGCGATGATAGATGGGAGAAGAGCACCTGGGATTTTATATTGGACTCGTTCTCTCCCAAAGTAAAGTGTTGCAGTCGCGCTCGTGTATGGACTAGACTGTGTTAGGACAAATCTGTTCCCACAACTCTTATGAATGGAGTTGGCGAAGTGGCAATAACGTACGAAGTTTTCGACCGGCAATCTTCAACAGTTGCTTGTGGAGTACTGGTTTTTGGCGGCGTAATGTTTTCAGAAGCCTGGAACATTGGCGCTGGCTCTTTAGTTGAAGAGAAAGAGCCCATTTCTGCCAACAACGCTCTTTTTGCATTTTATTTTCCCCTTCTCTTCTTTGTAAGAGGTGGTCCAACTTCAATGTTCGAATTCAATGAATTTGAATGAACGATCACCCGGGCTTAAGTTTGGCGAAAGAAGTTCAGACGGAAAGAAAGTTTAAGTCGTGCTTAGTGTCCTACCCCGCATTTGGATTCAACCTAGCGTGTCAAGTCTGCCTTTGTCCAAAATGGTTTTTCTAAGTCTGCCCAGGAGCTTGGGGTTTTCATCAGTGCATGCAAACTTGCGATCTGAAATAGCGATGAGTATCTCAAACCCACTTGACTTCTGCCTGGCGCCTACACACCTGCTTAGCACGCTCAGCTTATCGCTTCTTGCGGAACGCATTTGCTTATCGTGATACCCATCAACATGGCTATTGGTTGAGATAACACAATATCTTACCTTCGTGCGGGGAACGGAAGCTTTTGCCTGATAGCTAGAGCCATCAAACTTTCTTGCACGTGCTGCCTCTGGAGGCCTCCACCTTATTCGAAAGGGTTACGTAAGCCTCTAGAAAGAACCGTAGCACTTACCTCACTCTAAGCATACGACAAAGTTGCAAAAAAGACGAAAACCCTATCCTTACAGACCCTCTTGCGAATTTCCTCTACGCTATGATGATGATGATGATGATTGGTACATTCCCTATGGCCTCCACCGGCCATAGGTCCAGGGAGCACTGTTATATGCTGAGCTGAACTGGGATTCCGGTTCATTTGAGACCCGGTACGCTATATACAACGAAAGCAACCCTCCCTCCGATCCAAAGATCTGAATCGCGGGCGCAAACGAATGTACTAATAGAAAGGTGAAACAAAACGCAAGGAATTAAAGAAAAGAAAAAAAAAAGAGAGGCGTAAATTAGAGCTATACTTCGCATACTCCTCATGCCGTCCCCTTCAAGGTAACTTCTTGAGCGCTGTCAATCCGTCGGCGTTGATCGGTCTTCAGTGACCACTCCTCCTGTGGTGCAGGAGCTGGGTGCATCACGTGAGCAAATAATGAAGCTAGCCGTGTACACTCAAAACAGATAACCGGAAGCTACTCCTTCAGCGGCAGACTTCTAATATTCATCAAATCGCCCACGCACGGTGCAGATGGTAGCCACTAGAAACGACGGAAATCGAAAAGAGGGCTGTTTACAATAAAGCATAGGTATCAAGGCTTTTTGGGGAGCCCGTTCAGGTGGGGACTGATCAGCTGGTCTCGTGGAAGGGAGCTGCGGAAACAGATGGCAGGGATGATTGGTCGGACGATTGCATAGGAAACCGCGATGAAGAGTAACAAGAGGGGACAAGCGACCGGAAAATTAACGAAATGTGTTTGCACGGGAATTTTTTTCATTCAACTTTCACCGGAGCAACGGAAGTTCGCACTTGCCTGGCGATATAGTTTCTAATCTTACATGCACTCTTACCTAGTATCGTTCGATTTGTTCCAGCTTATCGCACCCCGAGTCTAGTAGCTTACGGAATGCGGAAGTGCGGGATAGTGGACCAAATACTTTGCCTTTTCCCGGATCACTCACGGAACAAGGAGCCACCTCATTGCTTTGATGAAAAGGACAAGCCGAAGAATTTAGTTTCGTTTGACCGAGCTGCCACGTCGGAAGGCCAATGGATTCTAACGAAACAGCGTCTTACTCCAAGTGCACGTTGAATCGGATTCTCACGGATGTACTACTCTGCCTTCACATGTAACAGCTCAAATCGCCAATCAGGCTTGATAGTGGTACACCTGAGGGCACACATATGAGATAGATGCGACAATCGCATTGTTGGTAGCGATCTCAAGACAGCTTCGTATAATACGAGCATGTCCCGTTCCCTCGGCCATTGTCAACATCTGTTTAGACCAGCATCTTACATGCCAATTTCTTCGCAGTGCCACAACGCAAGAAGCCGAGATCTACCGACGCGTGTGGGTGTTGCTCACCAGGAGCGCAGACCCCGGGTGGACCCCGAACGAGCCCGCAACAGCGTCTTCTGAGTCGTTTTTACGAGCCACTTGTCCTTCTCCGTACCCTGGGCCAAACGAGAGGCGAGCGCATCTCTCGGTTAGCACGTGGGAACCCGGCCGATCTCTCGAATTGCCAGCTACGCAGGACTTTCCTTGACTGCTTAGCGTACACCTGCGACTACGAAAAGGGCGGTGATACGGTCACATCAATCGCGTTAGAGGCAACGCCGCAAGGCCCGGTCTTTTGGGCTAGCGTAAACAAAAATCCTGGTCAAAGGGTGACAAACTTCCTACACAGAACTTTGGGGAAGCTACGGGATATGGCTAAGCCCCAGAAAAAATTGCATCCGAAGTGGCTCGATCACTATCCAGGGACTTCATTCTCTTTGTCCGAGGCCGGATTAAGAAGTACTGGTCATGCCTGGCTCGGTGCCTGCAAAGTTGTTTCACCTTGCTATCTAGGCAAGGTCTTGACAACGGTATGTTCAAAGCCTGATTGGCCCTTGGTGATGAACTAACGAAACAAGATCAAGAGCTCTTTTCCTGGCTTGAAATTTTCAAGTTCGATCCTGCGGACCCATCCCTGCTTTGTCAGTCGTGCTACGAAGCACGGAAATCACCTCAGATGAGCCAGCTTGGCGTTTGGAGCCAGAAGCACCTATACTGCAACGACAAAAATCTACGATCGAATCCGTTCAAGCAGGCGAAACACTACATAGGATGGTTAGACTTTCATTTTAATGCTACGACGTACTTGATTGCTATCGCCGGAAGGCTCCCTTACCTTTTCGAGGGCTACGAAATCCGCTGTGTGAAAACGCCACCACCTTCATATCACCCACCGCCGACAGATGCTAAGACAAAGTTGGATAGCACTGTCGTTCGCATGTGATGGATTTTGCGCTTGATCAGTGGAATAATTGATGAATGAGTATATTGATTGTTGTTTCAATCTTGAACCCGAAGTCGTCTCAGAATGAGTGACTATGCTAATAAACTTACCCAATAACAAACAACGGAGGTGATTGAGCTCAGGTTCCATCATCTTCCAAGGTTTTGGAAACTTGCAAGGTCCAAATGTAGTTGCGCCGCTGTTGGCTTGTTGATTGGTCGACTGGCGATCGGTCATGGACTCCGGCTAACCATGGTTAACCGCGTGATCAAGCAAGGCATTACAGCGGCAACGCTGCAGGCTTTGTATAGCTTTAAACGTCAGATTAGAAATTCCATGTTGCACCACCTTCATAGCTTTCCCCCAAATCTTGCAAGACGAATAGCCCAATATTCTCTAGAAGGGGACGGAGATGGTTTCAGAAAAGATCAGGGCATTAGCCAGGTCGGTCAGGTTCCCGCACGACCTGCGATGTTATCAAGTTGCCATCGGAACCTGAGTCTCTGTGTGAATGCGGGTA